ACTCTACCTCGTCAATACTCCCGCGAAAGGGAAAATGTCACCAACCCCTTCTCCCACCAGCAGGAAAGAGTATAGCTACTACTCAAAAAAAAAAAAAGGAAAGAGTAGCTCGACCGAGCAACCCAATCCATGGCGACGGCGGCGTGTTCTCTCCCTCACCGGTGTCCGCTCTCGCTCCAGCTGGCCCTCCTCGCTTTCCTGCTGGCGGCGGTCCCGGCGGCCGACGCGTGGACGGGGGAGATCCGCGGCCGCGTCGTCTGCGACGTCTGCGCCGACTCTGCCATCGGGCCCGAGGACCACGCCCTCGAAGGTCAGCCCAATGAGCCTGCCTCCTCCTTCGAATGTATCTAAGTCGCTGTCATGGTCACCGAGCTAGATTTCGAGCGATCGCTTCCGCGGATCTCGGCTCAGCTGTTTTGGATCTCAGAATTTAGTTCTCGGTTTACCACGTTGAGCAGAGTGGCGAGTTTCGCTCTAGTGGAAATTCGCGGGCTGTGGGGACTGGAGAGTGCTTTTCGTATCATTCCGTGGGAAATTCTGGTGGAATTCGTAGTCTGTGCTAGGCTACTGGCCGTATTGGCTACTGGTCATCTGATGTTGAGATGAAAATCGGAGATAAGTAGTACTAGGTAACAGGAGGCTCTTGTGTTAGCTAGTGATGAGGAGCATAGATGGACGCATGCCATACAGCTTAGTTGGGATTTGGTGAGGTGAGGCGAACACCTGAGCCGTTATCGTATCTCACTCTATGGTTGTTCAGTTTCTAGCAAAAGGATATAAGAAGAAATAAGGAAAAGGGTTTGACTTCTATTCTCCATGTTCTGGGAACGCATGAAAATGCATAGAGTGCTTTCTACTGCCACCGGAGCAAATCAAATTACAGGGAACTGGTTTAGCTCAAAACATGTTCCGAAATTGAGGTGAACTTAACTATCAGGTAGAGTTCTTGACCTCTGCCTAAGCAAACTATTAAGGATGGCTAAATATGATGTACTGCTTGCAATGCAATAGCACCTTTACCGAGTAATTTCTCTGGAGCCTCTCATTGCATGTATATATATTTAGATGATGTGTAAATTATAACCTAAATTTCCCTCACATATCCACTACATTATCTGTTCCACTATATTTGTCTTAAACTCCATGCGCAAAGGAAACTAAAGATATCAAAATTCAAAACTATTTCGGTACCCATGTGGGTCTGTACATTGGCTTGCAGGGAGTACATAATGCATTTCCCAATGTATGAAATAATAGTCATTGGCGTAATACATGTAAAATTATGTACATGTCCATGGAATAGCCTGATGCATCTCTAAAGATAAATTTGAATCCACTTCTTTCCAGAATATATGTGAACTTTTCCTTTAGTTTTGTGAGACTTATTTTAATTGTTGAGCAAGAAATGTCAGCATTTATCAAATGTCATCAAAGAAAATCCATTGATGTGCTCTCTGTTTGATAAAGTTGCAACTGTGAACGGTGTGACAGAAGTTAATGGTGCTTCTCTCTAAGCTTTGGCTGGACAAGCCCACAGAAGCTTAGAGGATGATCCTTCACCTGCGTGCTATCTCTTGCAATCCAATTCCTGTTCCTTTCCGCTAAGCATGAACACCAATGAGAAGCATTAACATGAGAGTACCCACTGCCAAGTCGCAGGAGTCCATTTCCTGGAGTTATTCGTTGTCACTGATTCGCAGGTTGACCCCTCTGGCCTCTCCATCCCGCTCCTCCTACCGCTTCATCCTCCCCTTCTGCTTCCTCTTTCTTGCTCCATCGCGCCCCTACAAGCTCAGACCAAATGACGTCAAAACATTGCCTGTTAAGCCTATTGGGAGAACTTTCTGCCTATCGTATCAATGTTCCATTCTTCTTTTATTTTTTCCTCCAAACCATCATACTGTACTGGTGCAGTCGTCATTCTGCTGGCCTAGATTGTTCCACGGTATAGCTACAGGCATAATTTCGGCAATTCAACCACTACATAAAAAAATCAAGTTGGAGGAGTGGGAGTGGGCCAAGTGGCTGTTGAATCAACCATTTTAGAAATTCAGGTAGGCCGATTCAGTAATTCAACCATCCATGAACAAATTGAGATGAAAACACAAATGGGACGACCAGTGCTGGTGCTAGCGCAGGTGTCAATGATGGGTTTTGACATTCCTTTTTGTCAAGAAAATTAGGGATATTTCATAATGCTTACATGCGATCGAAGTGTATTGGAAATTGTTAGTGTAAATCTGAAGTGGTGATTTTAGGTGGTACTACCAAACTAGAAAAGAATTTACATCTTGAACCTTTTATGTGACTGGCAAGCACACATGTGCTGCCTGTCTCTTACTAATTCCATTCTGTTTTCTTTGCTTTGGACTGTTCATTATGTTGTGTAGAATTAAAGTTTCTGCAAGATGATCTCTTTAATTCTCCTCTTGCTCATGTACATCTTCGTGTCTTATGTAGGTGCCGAGGTTGCTGTTCTGTGCATTATGAAATCTGGCGAGGTCATCAACTACCAGGCATTCACAAACTCCGAGGGCGTCTACAGTGTTGCGGAGACGATGCCGGAGAGTGACCGGTGGGACTCGTGCCTGGCGAGGCCCATCAGCAGCTTCCACCACCATTGCACCAGGAGGGGCGATGCACACTCTGGGGTCAAGTTCACATACAACAAACAGTCAGGGAACTCGCACAACGTCAAGGCATTCTTGTACAAGCCTGCCAATGTTCCGCTGTATTGTAGCTGAAATCTGTAGGATGGGTTCATGCCCGGCCTAATATGTAAGTAAACATGGTGTAAGATCTGAAAGGCAAAGGTGTTGGTCGGTCCCTATGCTTCTAATGGTCTGCGCATCTCGAATGTCAGTCGTTTGAAGGGATCTGATGTCGAATGCCTAATTGTTGTAAATCATTATATGTTTTTGAGCCATATAAATATACAAAGTTGTACTAAGATTGATACACTTATTTTCGGACGGAGGGAGTAATAGATATGTGTGAAGAGTTGAATAGTTTTATTTCTAGAGATTTACCGAGCGATCAGGTGTTGCAACATGAAGGATGGGAGCAACTCTAGCAGATTCCCCCAAAACGGAGCTTTTAAAGGTGTTGTTACATCGCTCTTCAATTTTTTTTGAAAGGTTTTAGAGCAACTACGTAAAGCCAGATTCCTTGTTTTTTCCTCTTATGTTTCTTCTTTGTGTGTGTGCATATAAACTCTATTCCAACTTCATTTTCACATCAACATAATTTGAAATTTTCATATTTCAGCATCATAGAATACAACAAATTTTCAAATCAATAAATCCAAATGTTCAAATTTAAACAAAGAACAATGTCCAAATACAATAAATAATCAAGATAAAACATGAATAGGCGTTGAATAAGCACCACATAACTATCGCCCATAGGGGTAGAGGGGGTAAAACATGAAACTATGTGTGGCAATTCCCATCTTCATATCTTTCATATCATGTTTGACAGTTTTTTTTTTGTACCATGCTTGTCAATTTGAATATCGCTCATAGGGTAGAGGGAGATACACCTCAGAACTCTTGTTTTGTGTGTGGAGGAGACTCGGGGAGAAGAAGGTGAGATTTTGCT